GCTGGGCAGCAGTCATTGTGCAGATGATGGCAGTGGAGGCAGTTGCCAATGCCAACCATATGTCAATTATCTGTCAGTGTTTTTCTGTAATTTGAAAAATAATGGGGGTCTTCTGTGGGGGAATATTCCATCTTTCTTCTCTAAACCTGTGTAGTCTCATTCCCCTGCTATACTTCTGGCATTAAAATATCATCTTATTATCTACAGACACTCCTTTGGAAACCCTGTGGACATGTGGGACATGCTGAGGAACTGAGTAGGAGCTCAGAAGAAAAGCTACTTTCCTAAGGTGTCCTCCTCTGCACCCAAAGGCACTGAACTCCATGAGCTCCATGTCCCCACTCGCCTCCTGGAAGCCACTGTCCCTTCAGATCTGCTATGAAGGGAGCTCATGTGAGCATTTTTCGGTCTGAAAGCCCTCTCATTTCACCAGCCTGAGCTAACTTGGTTTGTTTTGTCTGAACCACATTGGGAAGGATCACATGAGCATTTCTCTTGGCTCATGGAGAGGGAGGGAGGGAAGAGAGAAGTCAGAGATGCTAGGGGCAGGTCTTCAGGTAGGACTTCTTCCCCAGCACACTCTCCTTCTTCATTTTCCAAATATTCTTTTTCCCTTCATCCTCCCCATGGGGTGAAGTGGGCAGAGCCTCGGTGGAACCACTGGAGTTAAACTGAAATCACACAAATTTGAAGGAAAGGAGAAAGTAGCCCTTCATTGCTGAACCAGTGACGGCACAAGAAGTTTATGCCACAGGGACAGGGAAAAAGCCTGTCTTTGAAGTTCATCTGTGCTTAATATTTACTGTCAAATACGCTGCCGAACGACTTAAGGCCTGATTACCTTTGGCTTGATGCAAAATCATGTCGGAACAAAGCAGCAAGCAAATATTTTCCATTGACTGCTATAACCATGGCCTTCTCTTGCCCAAAGGTACCCATCCCACCCAGGCAGCGTGGGTGCCAGAGGGTCAAACACAACTCAGCTTCTGCTGTGGATACACCTGAGCGCTGCAGAGAACTGACTATCATCTGCTCTGTTGGGTAGCAAGAACCTTCACCAGATACCGGTTGACTTATTTTATGTTGGGCTGCACATAGACCGAGCTGCTTTATGGATTTAAGTGGCACAAGTGATGTGTTAGAAAGCCAAGGAAAAGAGACCAGGATCCACCTGTAATGTGCCTCGACTGGATTCCAGCTGCTCCAGCAGAAACCGAGAAGCACTGATTACAACCCCGGCTATTCAGAATGTGTGTGATTATTTATGCAAGAAGGCTGATGAAAGGCAAACTTAAAGGGGCAGATTTCTCAAAAATCAGTTTTGCTAACAAAAACCAGCCCGATGGTGCCATAAGCAGAAGCCCGTGTGGGACGGGTCGTCTGCTGTCTGCCTAGGCACTTGTTAGTGCATGCATCACCAGTGCGTGCCAGGACCAGATTTTCAAAAGGAGTTAAACACATAGCTTTTGTAGAGATCAATGGGAATTAGGCACTGAGGTGCTTTGAAAATCCTGCTAGGCAGATCACTGTGTGTTTGGAGACCTATCTCCTGGTCCCTCAGCGCTCAGGAGACCCTGTCGTATTCAGGTGTGGCAACTGAGCTTCAAGTGATGGCTTTGGTCTTGTGTCCAGGCTGTTCAAGGATGATGAACATCCCAACAACTGCACCACACCGGGAAGCCCTCTCTGCCACTATTTTTCTAACCCTAATATGAATCAAAGGATTAAGGCTTGTTGGTAGTAAAATATCATAGAGAGAGATTCACCTGTCAGAGTCTCAGTGCGAGGCCCATGCAGGAAGAGAGTGAAGTCTCCTTTGGCATCTCTGCGGTGGGATGCACAGCACCTGGGGCACTATCCGGGCCATATCATCAGCTGTATCAAATTTGAGGCCAGGCTGTTACGGCCCTGGGAAATTTCTGGAGTTTTTTTTAAACCCAGGAAATTTTCTATGGTGCCACCTCTGAATCAATCCCACAGAGCAGCCTACCATAGAGCTGACTTGTAATTTGGCCTTTCAGAGCCCTCAGTAAGAGGGTTTATTTCACCACCGTGCTCCCTGGATGTGGTTTGGGCCAGAACAGAAGAAAGTTGAATTCTTACAATATTTCTAACTGGGGGCAAATTTGGAACATGCTGGAGAGCCCATCATAGGAGTCTTGCATTGTGGCTGTTGTCATGTTGTGCTTTTTCCTTTAAGAAATTGGAGTAAATGGATTGAACTGTTCTGCTGGCTTTCAGGATTCCTGCAGTTATATAATCAACTTTCTGTTGTACTCTTTCGGCTCGATGCGCTAAGTTTGCTGAATTAGGATGATGAATGCAAGCTTCTGCATCAATTTCCTGGTTGGGAATTAACTGGGGTTCCTCTAATGAAATCTCTGAATGTGAGCAATCAAGCTAGTATATTTGGTAACACGACTCTTTGTATGAGCAAAATTAATCCACTGGGATCAGAGTTCCCTTGAACACCGTAAGAAAGAGCCTCCTATGACCTACAAAACAAAAGGATTTCTTACTCTCAAACATGCTCAACAGGAAATGGAAGAAGTGTCCTTTACTTGTGTCATCCATTTCTACCATGTCACCTGCACACATGGCAATATCGTTAAAGCATCACTTCAGCAATGGGGTTTTATGCTTGTCGGTGCTAAAGCAAACCGGGCCATGACACAGACATATAAGGAATTACTGTCAACAGAACAAGTTGCCATGCAGGGAAATTACACAAGGACAAGGGGAATGCTTTCCACATACTTAATGTAATTCCAAGTCAATGTCCTTTCATCTGTGCCAATATAACTTGCTTATTACTCCTTCTAAAGCTATTCAATTTTCTTGGATATTTATGACTTTGCCAAATCTCCTTTACATTCTACACATTTATCAATGAAATATTCTGTAGGAAATACGGTTTACAGCTTCAGAGGCATGAGACTATGTACAAATTTGTTGCTAAATCACCATGCAAGAAGATGGGGGGGGGGGAAAGTGAAAAGAAACAGAATTCCTCCAGCACTCAAAGTATTAAAGAATGATTCCTAAACCAAGGCAGCACTGCAATAGAAAGGTAGCACCACACAAAATGATAGTGTGCACCAGTAAAATCTCGATGCTGACTGCATTGCGGTGCTGGCCTTTCCCATGATAACGCGGATTCTTTATACTCAGAGTGAGGAATACCACAAATAATGGGGTAAATTTAATTACCATGAAAGAGAAAAGCTTGTTGTTCAAAGACAATCCGGGCATATCAGCTGTGTGGAGAAATATCATATACCAAACTAGTGGCATTTTGGTTTTGCAGCAGAACTAATAAAATGGCAGTGAGGGTATGAATCAGGCTTTTTTGTGCATAAATAACTTTCATATAAAATTGTCCCCTGGATTTGGGGCCTTTTGCTGAACATTTTTTTTTTTCTTTTAAAATCCTTTCATGAATCTGTGGTGCTTTCCAAATCAAAGTGCTCGAACACAAGGCTATAAAATAATATTACAGAAACACAGGATTCCAATTAACACAGGACTGCTCTCTTTTCATTTTAAAGTCATTTAAGAGAGGGGTTTTTTTATCCCTTCATCATGAAAAGAAATGAAAGCTGCTAGGGACACAGAAAAGAAAGCAGAATGTAATGTCTAATGAGACAGAGGAAGTTTTAAGAGCTAGATATTTTTCATTAGGGGATGCATGTGGAGACCATAATGTGGTAGGGTGACATTAGCATAAATAAATGATAAGTAGAATTGAGCCACAGATATGGTTTGTACCATTACCCTAATGCTGGAATTAAAATATTGTGATCAGGCTTCATTTCCTGCCCGTGTGTGCAAACTTACCTGGTGTTCATGCAAAAAAAGTGTTGTCTACATATAACTAAGTTGATAATCCACATTGATAACTATGCTGACATTTGCCCAGGTATTGCTGGTGGTTAATTTTGATGTAGTGTGATTTATATGTAACATGGCATAATGAAAGCAACAAAGAGGTACATTTTCTTATCTATAAAAGAAGCTGATTAAAACAAAATGACGGGAGAAGAATTCTCACTCTGGAATAAATTTTCTAAACTGAACTGATTTTTTTTCAGGTCCACACAGGCATTATCGAGAGCAGAACTGGATTCACTAATTTAGTTTTCCATCAATGCAAAATAAATGGTATCTGGGGAGTTTAAATGCTACTGATTTTATAGGATGACTGTGGAATGGGGACTAAAATGGCATGACAGTCAGAAAAAAGGAAGAAGGGAGAATGTATCAAGGAGTTAAGTGAGATGAAGGAGGAAGGTAAAACCAAGCCAGTTCATTAATGATGCTGCAAATTGCTTAACATGAGAACTGCACCTCTTTGCATGATTTCAGCATATTGGTGGCACCTTAATAATAATAATAATAATAATAATAGACATGACACCAAGAGCTCAAGATAAGTGCCAGGTGTGTGAGGAATACAGAACCAAAGAGAGAGGGAAATGAAATGGTTAGAAAGGCAGCAGAGCAGACAAGGGATAAGCAAGACAGAGTTAAATACCAGCCAGAAGTCATCTGACTGCAATTCTCCTCTTTTATAGCAGCAATGCAAATAATGGAGCAAATAAAAGGGAAGAAAACTTTAAATCAGATGCATGTTTCTGCAAATGCTGTCGCTAGAGTAGAGAGAAGTCTTGGAGGCCACAGAAAGACCTTTTGAGAGAGGCAAAGTGGGATGTTTCTAAAAGCATCCAGCTGACATTTGATGGCTTGTCTCTACGAGATCAAACACCACATAGGTGTACTTCTCGTCTGATAATAAAAAATATGTATAGCCATGTCATCAACAAATGAAAGGACATTTTGTCTTGTTCCCACATGAAAATGTATGATGTCAGAACTTGAAATCCAAGAACAAAGGTGCTCATGCTACACTAAGTCACACATATTCAATTAAGCATGCGCCTTTTCTCCTCCCTGATCATCAATTATTCTTTTAAAAGTAGTCGGGTTTTCTTTCTCCCTACCAATAGTGCAGTGCTCTCCGTTCCAGCCTGGGCTGCATTCACACTTGCCATCCCGGCATGTCCCGTGCTCGTTGCAGCGTGGGTGACACGCTCGCTGATCACAGGCTGTGCCCATCCATCCCTCCTCGCAGCGGCAGGTGCCTCCGACACAAATGCCATGTCCTCCGCAGTCCGCTGCACAAATCTCTGTGGGAGAGGAGAGAAGAGAGAGGAGGGGACATGGGTGGAGAGAAGGGAGAAGGGGAAAATCCAGAGCATTATTGTTAAGAAAAGCAGCCACACTTCACTACCTCGCCTTACGGGGCAATGAAAGGAATTCCTGGAGCTCATAACACTAATCCTTCCCGACAATAAGAATCTAATAAGTATATTACAAAAAAAGAGACGGACATGGATTGCAGAGGTCTGCTGTGATTGATCCTCCTATTCGCTTTCTAATTCTCTTGCACTCCTTGAGCTTTTGTGACCACCAAATCCGAAGGGGAAAGCTCTTCTAATAATCAGAACAAAAGTCACATTTAATTAAAATCTGGTTAAGTGTGGAAACAATGTGCTGATAAACTACTGATGCTAAAGTTAAGTGCTGGCAAAGCCTCTTTATGGCTTGTTAACCCATGGTTCTGGGCATGGGATTCAATCAAACCCTTCTTCTCTCTTTAAAATTAATATTGAATACTTGTTTCTAGGGAGTCTGTGCATCTGCATGTCTCTCTTCTCCTACCACCCCATTAAAAACCCTCTCTCAGGCATTTGGAGGCACCACCATGCTCTTTTTGTGAGCTGCATGAGCTGGAGTTTATAGGATGGTGCTTGTTCCCAAGTCTTATTGGAGTGAACGGAAGCATGGAGTCACAGCTGGGTATTTTGGTACTTACCTCCAAAAAAAGAGCTAAAGGACATTGGCTTTGCAGGGCTGCTGGCCTTCCCACCCTCCGTGGGCATGAGGGCACAGACACATATAATATTTTCACCCAGCACTAAGCTTTTGGCTAAAACCTGGCATGCTCTTGGCATGAATTTGGGAGGCTTCATGTTTTCATCCGCACTGTATTTCTCTGGAAAAATTGAGATTTGGTGGAGAACAGGTACCCATGAGTCAGGTGTTAAAGGCCTGTTACCACCATTACTATACAGGACTGATTTCAAGGCGAACAAACCAAACGCACATGCTGATGTGGTGTTATACTGAAGATGAAATGAAATGAACCTATTTCTTCTTCTCCAGGCTCATCACCTGACTGCTCTCTTTTGATCTCCCATAAGCCATGACTGCACTCTCCTCAGCGGGAGGAGAGGCAATTTGGACTGTATTGCAGGCTATCAGGTCTTCTTCCTTCTCTCCAGCTTCTGCCTGATTCTTCTAAATTGGATCGAACTCTCCCAAATGTTTTGGACTCAAGCCGTCCACTTGACTGAGCCATTTTATAGGTTTTACGGGGTAGGGACACAGTTCCTTTTGCGGAGAGTGGAGAGAAGATGTGAGCAGATGAAATGCTGAGCAGGGCTGGAAGCCCAGTACGGGATACCAGGGTATCTCTGCAGAGCACATTTTTTCTCTGTTCCCCCAGCCGTGCACCCCAGAATGAGCATCTCGGACACCAGCCCATCTCCAGTGCCTCTTGCTGTACCTCTGAGCACATTAAGCACAGGATTCCGGGCTCGAGGCTTGTGGTGGAGGGGTGACTGGTATTATACAAGACATTTACTTCGGGTCACGGGCTGCACATAAAATATTCAAAACTACTCAGCCTGCATTAACGTCACACCTGACTGAAATTCAACCTTACTTAAGTTGCCTTTAGTCTTTTGCTAATTAATACCACCAGTAACGGGAAGCTTAGGCTGTTGGGGGACTTTTGACACGCTCCTGAAGCAGGGCTGGAACATCCACCTCAACTCCAGGAGGAAAGTTTTGTCCCACTGGAGAGAGCTGCTAGGTCTTCAGCCCCTTACGCTGAAATGGACGCTTGTCTCCAAGGATCAGCGGGCTCTTTAGACAGTGGTAGCTATGATAGCAATAGCAGTAATGCTTTGCATGTCTAGAAAACACCTCGTTTTCCAAATGCGACATGATCACAATATCTAGCTCCTGCTTACTATACAGCTCAGAGTGGTGGAACAGTTTCCAGTTGGACTGCTTTTGCTGCAGTGTCTTGCATGTCTCCAAACCCTCTCAAACATTTAGTCCTACATATTTAAATCTCTAATGAAAGAACTTTGGAGTTCAAATGTGTTTAAGACACTCGGGAACTTGTCTGTCCTATATAGAGTCAGGCTTGCAAAAGTATTTGGGCACCTTGGGTGCTTAAACCGAGGATGCGCACATACCACTTGCTGCCTAAATGTAACAGAATGTAATGCAAGCTTTATTGGAAGTCAGTAGAAATTACACTATCAAACACTTAAGACGTGGCTGAGGAAGAACTCTTGAGTTGCCGTCAGAAGTTTTTATTTTGCATCTGGCATTGAGACAGATTTTCACAGCTTCTAGATGTGAGGGAGGTAATATCATACTACAGTGCCCGTTATGAGCATAACGGATGGGCAGCTACCGACTTGCTAAAGGGCTGGAGCCCAGCCGTGTCTGTTTTCTACCCCTTCCCCCAACTGCCAGACAGCACTGCAATGAGCGTGGGCAGCTCAGGATGGTATGTGAACACCCAGGACTTGCAAGTTAGCTAATGTAGCAATAAAGCTGCGCTAAAAAAAAAAAAAAAATTAAAAAAAAAATTGGCTCTCCTTAGCTGACCTGATGAACAAAGTCTGGGGGAGGATAAAGGAAACAGCAGATAAAAAATAAAAAGTTAGATTTATGGCACTGAAATTTCAGCAAGCTGAGAAGAAATGCATTGAGAAAGTACAAAGCCTGAGACTGCTGGTATTTAAGCCTAAACTAGAAAAGTATTGTTGTAGCCTCTGGTGCTTCCCAGCAGTCTTTCACCATAGGGCTGCTCTAGCGTTGGACTGAAACCACTCCTCTGGTTATTGGTTTACACTCTTTATTCATGCATGTTGAACTTTGCACCTCAGAATGCTAAATAATAGATTTTTTCTTGCTCCTAGTTCAACAAGTAATCCAGAGAACGTCAGCTCGGTTACTTCATGTCTTCATTATGGCCCATTCCCCAGCCTTCAGGGTCCCATCTCTAAAATGGGGATAGCACTGGTACCCTCAAGCCCAGTGACGTGCACTGCGAATAACCTTCACTGCTGACTGTCAAGCTCTGAAATTCCAAAGACACAAATATTGCCTGCAATGGAGAGGAAAATTGGCATGTTGAGGACTCGGCCCTTCATGACTCCAAAGTCCATGTGAACATCTTAAGGACTTTACTATTATTTACTTAATATTTTATCTTTGGTTTGAGAATATTAATGAGTCTGAGTATTAGTGGGTTTTTTCTGATGTTATGATGTTATTTCTCTTTCCACGGATAAAGTAAACAAGGCATAAAGAAGTAAAGTGATGGGTCTACAGGTATGTGTGAACTCTGTGACAGGCACAGGACCTCCTAGATGTCCTGATATCATCTTGTGTCCTGTGGATAAGCCAGGGAAATGACAGTAGGTCAGATACCTACCGGTTGGTGGTGCAGGGAAAAAAAAGCAGGGACAAAAGGAAGCTATATTTTGAGTGATAGCCAGAAGCCTTCTGGAGTTATTTAAAGGTGTGAAACTGGGATAATGGAATGACATTCAAAAATGGTGAAGAGAGAAAAAAAAAAAGCACTTTCTGAAAGGAAGATTCTCTGTGGAGTCATTCCTATGAAAAGGGATGGAAAACCCACTGGGACACATCTCAACTGAAATATTTCCCAGACAACACGCTGCCAAGGAACAGTTTTGCACACATGGGCCAGGCATGATCTAAACCAAACAGATCTTAGGCTAACCTGGAACAGGAACGCTGGGAGCACTTTGGGTTTCCATCACCCATCCAGCTAAGACCACAGCCATACCACCACCCACGCACACAAGAGAGTGCAGGCTCCAGGTTATGAATATATAATTAATATATAACGGATATATAAGGTGGTTTGGATTCTCTAGGCCCCAAGAGCTGTAAGAAAGACCCTCAGCTGTGAAAAACACTTGTGAAGCAAACTACTTACGACAGTCTCCCTAAAACATAGTTTAATTATTTCTGACAGGGAACCAGGAGCCAGGAACTCTCAAATCTAAATCTTCCATTTAGCTGCCAGTTTAAAGATAGATGGGAACCATACAATTTAAATAGCCTTACAACACACATCCTGCTGTATGCCCTGGCCGTTTATAACATGGCACTCTTAAATGCTCACAGGTTTCTAATGGGTGATTAAATAGTCAGCGTAGCTTTTACTTTTCTGGTGGCACTCAAAGAAATGATCAAAATGGAGTTCAGATTAAGTTTTCACTTAAATACAGGTCTTTTTGGGCAGCTCAAGACGACTAAGGCTGCTTTACAGAAGAAGGCAGGTGAATAGTTTCTTCATCATTCAGTCTCAGGGACAGAATTTACCACCTCTGTTCTTATTACAAGCAGCATTTTTTTTTGGTACATTTCCCAATTCTGTTGTTAAAATTAGAGGACATGATTAGCTACCATCTGAGCTGCATGAGCAAATGAGAAGGAAAGCTTTTAATTCTGCTATTACAGTATTCACAGACTGGCCAGCTGCACTGTATTGCTCCTGCCTATTTAAGCTTAGTTAGAACGCTGTGCTTGTGCATAAAAGACCTGCCTGTTAAATATTTTCACACCAGCTGTTCCCAAAAGGTGACTAAATATTTCCTTTCATCTTTAATCTCTTCCACAGTTTGTATGAACAGCTTAGCCGTTCCTTATCCTTTCCTAGAGGTGCATTGTGTTTTACTTCATCGTGCCGTGCAGCTCTCAAAGCTGCCTGCGGTTCCTTGAAGGAAGGGGATCTTCTGAGCCAATCTGGTGCCCAGATTCTAAGAGCAAATATGAGGCTTACTGTCCTCAAAAGGTACAATTAGCCCATGCACCTCTGCGGGAAATACCTGGACTTTGGGTAATAGCCTGTATTTCAGTCCCTGACACTTGCACTTACCAGAGGGCACTGATGGACGTTAATTGATTCATGGATGCAGGGTTTTATCTAGGGAATCAAGTTCATTTCTACTCTACCATCTGGGTTTTCACCATGTTGCTGTCTTCTGTTGCCTGGATTTCAGCTCAG